GTAATGATTGGGCATTTGTTGCAAAGGAAAAGCATTGAAAGCATTGATATCATTGTTATTCAATTTACTGTATATGCGATTGTTCTCTCTCAGCCATGCTTACAATGCGACAGCGATTTAAATAATTAGAGACATATATAAAATGTAATGAAACTAAATTCATACAATGATGAAACGGCACATTCAATCTTGTTTTTTATTTTTACACAACGGTTTGAATTTCAGCAATAATTTCATTTCACTTTTTTGTTCATACATTCATTGAGTTATTAGGAGAAAAAGTAGAGAACAATCGCATATACAGTAAATTGAATAACAATGATATCAATGCTTTCAATGCTTTTCCTTTGCAACAAATGCCCAATCATTACATTATATCATTAAGTTATACAAAAATGAATGACTTGTGAAAGTTTTAAATATAATATTATCACTACACTGTATATTGTAATACAAGCAAAACATCAAATAATGTTTTTTGTTACACAATTCTCACTTAATATTCAACAGATTTGGACTACTTTTTTGAATTGAAAAATATATTCCCTCAATATTACGGCACACAGAATATGACATTCAAATATTTGCCAATAATTGCTTTCCTATATATGTATTATTAAATCAATTTTAGACGCTTTGTTCCCCGAAAAATGAAACTTTTATTTATGGTTTGAAAATAAATGTTATTTTTGATGCAAAAACGATATATTTCTATAGTTATATCAATTCGTGTCACTCATAGATTGTCAGCGAATCATATGTTTTATTGAAGGGGAGAGAGAGACGAGGGGTTACTCTATCTCTTCCACAAACTTTTGTTTCAATAAATTTACTCTTCATATAAGAAGTCAACTGTTCGGTCGGTCAGCAGTTTTTGTCACAATTCACACTCATTTTTGCCATTCATTTAACGTTACAAAAAAAAATCTCATCAAGTTTTCACAACTAATTCTTTAATTTTTTAATTTGTTTTAAAAGTTCTTCTAATTAAAGAAGTTTTACACCAAAACATCGTTTAAGATAAAGATAAAAGTTGTTTGGATTTAAAATCATATATCAATTGAACACAATTATACAAAGCACTCAAAAATGGTTGTATTCAACGGTCCGATAGCGTGTATGCCTTCACCACCGCTAACATTATGGACCGCAAGTCTGCCGACATCTCCGTGTCCTCTACTATCGCCACTGCCGTCAGTGTCTCCCCAATCGTCGAGTCACTGCAGTTCGTTAGCGCCGTCGCCCACCACTACATACCCCACACTTCCCATCGCAACTCCACTATCATTACCACATCTTAACTATGGATCAAGTGTTGTCATTAGACCGACCCCTTGGAACCAATCTTAGTGAGTGTTTTATGCTTTAACTATCAATTGTCTGTTTGCTCTTAATTCAAAACTTCCTTTAGTTTCTAATTCTCTAAACAATTTCTAAAAATATTATTGAAAAGCTTTGGCTCCACATTAACAATGAGAACTACTGTTGAAATACGAAACTATATTTCAATTACTGTTAAATTCATTCATAATTTACTGAAATATGAGATTTTTATAGTAATTTAAGTGCAACTAATTTTTATAAAATTCTTTATAATAACTGAAATATTAGATGACATACTTCTATTTTTAGTGCACTTATTATGTAATTTCATATTTTAAACCAAAATAAGGCCGACTAATTATAGTGTATTTACTGTAATTATATACAGTATTATTATAAATTATAAAATGACATATTATTGTCAAGAATTTCATAATGTTTGAGGAAGCAGCGAAAGAATATTCTAATAAATTTTTAATAATGCAATAATTAGTATGAGAATAATATATACTAAATATGATTATTTTGTAATGATATATCACCATCAGTGGTATGGAACAGGTATGGCTCTCGGAATTTCATCGCTTATTCTCCAATTACTACCAACAAGTTTGGATCCTTCAACCCGTCGAACACAAACCCATTGCCAACCGCTCTATGCATACATTCGTCGATTCAGCTAAAGTTAGATTCTGTTGTGATGTAAGCAATTTATGCTAATATATCATGTTTGCCAATATATTCATACAAAAATATTGCTCTCAATTAGTATCAAATATTTAACACATACACTCATATCCATATTATTTTATCTCATTACCAAAACAGATAAAATAGTAATTGATAATCAAATCAAATGTTTTTATATAAATAAATTGTTATTATTAATTAGGAAATAAATAAAAACATTTATAAAATTTGATTAATCAAAACATAAAAACAAATTAGCATCATTAGCAAAAAGGCTAATCTTAAATATACAGTATTTATATTATTATTGTTTAAATTCTTGATTTTATTAAACATGTAAATTATCTGTGCTTTGAATGATATGAAGAAATGCGGTCACGGGTGGACTTCAATGAAGGGGAGAGTTGTGTTTTGGTTTGATCTGTTGTCACCCTATTATTCCAATGGCTTCGTGGCGTTTAAACTCTATGGCCAACAATGCGATAGATGTAAAACTGATGGATACGAACAGGCCATGTGGTATCCCGAAGAAGTTTGCAAAGTATTTGAAATTAAATTATTTTTTAAAAATTTAACATTAAAATTACGTATTGATAATGTAATTTGTATGGTTTTAGGTGTTGACAAACTTATACAATAAAGTGGGGCAACTATTTTATGGCTTCTATCAGCCACCGATTGAGAAGACCCGCCGGTCAGGCAAACCCCGTACCCCTCATAACAGTGACTTATGTCAGGCCTGTAAGGATGGTCTATGCGTTGATCGAAAATGACATTAATTACAGTATTATTTAGTTGTGTTTAACAGTAATTATAATTACATTCGCAAATCGGTTAGTCCTTTATGTCTCATCACTTTCTCTAATCACTTTGCAGTTTAATTTCTTTACGACTGATATGTCTGAATATTATTATTACTATTTCCACTCGAATCACAAAACTTTGCTTTTTTTGTTGGAAAATTTTTCTCTTTTCGTTCAATTGTTTTATTATTGATATAAACAAAAAACTAAACGAAAGTTTTATATGAATCGAGATAACGAAATGTGTAATAATTGCTATATTGTGATCATTAAATTGCACATTACTTTGCTTTGGTTTCGAAATTATACTATCATTTTGTTTGAATAACTCATGCCTTAATAATTGTTATATCAATTCTTGTGTTTTATTACCATTTATTTTATTTATAAAACTTTTATTATGTATTCAATTATATTGTACTTACTATTAAAACAAATTAATTTATATTTATTGATATTTCAATAAAAATGTATTATCAAATGTTTAGACTCCTTTCAAACATTTATTTATATAACTATTACACTAATTAGTACTTACAGTTATATTTTGTTATAATTACTATTAACTTATGGCGACATTACATATTATATCAGCCTTTTGGGACATTTTTGCAATAAATACTTGAATGATGATGATTTCATTTATAAGTTCTATTATAAAATATTAATTATTAATTTTAACCTCATTCACGTTTAAAATTAAATTCATTTAAATATATAACAAGAATTTATAATGAAATCAATTTTACATTTTTAATTTTTTTAATTAATACAAAATTATTGTTAATTTGTATGCTTTATAAAAATTATAATAAAATATTCAATTGTTTTACAGTTATGATTTTATGTGAATATTTAAAAATTTGTAAGACTTATACCAATAATATAAATTATATTTTATATTTATATAATACATTGAAATTTATCAACGGATCTAATTCTCTTATTATAAGAGTATTTGATTTAACATTGGGTTACCATTGATTTATTTTACAAAGTCCCTGTTTTAGTTCAAACAAAGTCCGTGCAGGGGCCGGTGGCAGCATTAGTTATACATTAGCCATAGTGCAGACAACTCATACATCTCACTCATTGCTTTATGAGAATAAATAACGTTTCACAATTCAATAATTTTTAATATTTTATTCATATATAATATTCATTAAATTAACTAAAAGAATATTTAAAACTATTACCCGAAATAATTGGGCAAACAATATTAGACGTGTACAAGTTATTGAATCAAATTTTTAAAAAATAATTAAAGGTGTTCAGAATATGTTTTTAAATATATTTATCGGTTAAAGATATATGTTTGGGACTTTAGGGGCAAACGAATGACATAATAAGGGTCATTTTAACAAAGTTTTATTTTGCATATAAATACATATCTGACTTATAAAGAAATATAAATAAATATTTGGTCATAAAGCATAAAACTCATTAATTTACT